GTTTCCTAATATCAAGACTAACTGGAAGGTAGGCCACTTTAATTAGCGCCGGAAGATCTCCTGACTGAAGGCTGCTTGGCCTTTAAATTTGGTTGCAATGCCGTTAGTGACAAAAGTAAAACCAGCTGCCGACGGTAGTATTTTGCTGCTTGCGGTAGCCAGTTGTCAGGCATCTAGAAACTAGAACTTATAAACTACAAAATTGGCTTTGTATCAGAAACTTGTTATTCACGAGTGAAAAACGGGCATTCTAACAGGAGAAATCAGCTGAAATTACTGATGGCGGCACAGTAAAAATAAAAAAATCACTGCAAGACTTCACCGAATCCACGGATATCGGGAATCAGCGATGTTCATGTTGTGCAGAGGGTTGACAGCACGTAAATGTCTAATCATCATTACGTTCTAATGAGATATTAAATACAACCGATTTAACTAATGAATTTGGACATCCGAATCTTTTATCTGCACCTCCCCACCCCCCATCACTCTGTCATCCGGATTTCAATTCATCAACTGAAGCTCGTAAACTGCTATACTTCATGATATAACTATATTAAATCGAAAATTACTTCGTCTACAGTGTAAAGCGAAATAGTGAGTAATAGTGTCTTATTTTCCTTCGTGAATTGTGAAATTACCGTTTCTTTGTTTTTCGTGACCCCCCCCCCCTTACCACCCAACCTCGTACCCAGGGTTCTCTTCGTACGAGTTTGCTCCTTGTATTGTTTTGAACTCGAACGCCACATTTGCCTTCCCTACCCGCCATAAGTCCCAATTGTTATCTCCCAAAATTTGGAAGACATGTGACCAGCCTTGACCAGGGTCTTTCCTCCAGCAAGGCGCGTAGTGGAAAGAGCCTGGGTGCGGGGTTGGGTGGCTTGGAGATAGGAAATGATAAAATGATAAATTCACTATTTTATTCAGAAATTTTGATAATGCAGAGGAAATATTTATAATTATTTGATAATGCCCCCGTTGCCCTTTATTAGGAGGGGCAAGGGGGGCAAAGGTGCCCTTTCAATTTAAAGGATTGCCTTGGTGAAATAGCGAATTGTCAGAAATGTTAGTGCAATTCTTTTACGAATTTGCTTCAGAAAACGCAAGAAACGCAGTCATCGAGCTTCAAGAATAACACAATCGCCTGGTGGAGAACCCCCTCACACCCCTATCATCCAATAAATAGAAAACATGATTAGGCGAAGTTCAACTCCCGATGTTTTGCAAACATCTTTTAGTATATATCAATTCAAAAGTGCCCTTTCACGAAAATCTGTCCCCCCCCCCTTGCCTTCACATCGTTCCTGACTAAAGCTACGTTTACACGCTGCAATTAATCGTGTACGATTCGTTTTCTGGCGTATGTCATTGAGTAAACACCCGTAAGCTGCAATCCTGGACAAAAAATCTGCGAGACTTCCAATTATTTGACAAAATGTCGTAATATTATCGTAAATTTAGAAAACCTCCCCCTTACCCCCACCATTCATTGTTGACTGCATTCGTAGAATACGGATAAAACGTGCAAAATTGTTTTGGGGGCTGGAGGGGGGCAAACGAGTAAATTATTCCGGTCTAACTAGTAAAAAAAGCCACAAAGGAATGTTTTAATTAATATTCTGTAAATTAGTCTGTCGTCTTAGAGTGTCCCAGATGGTTTTGTCCAGGATTGTGGCTACATTTGAAATTTCTTTTTAACGAAACGGCAATGAATTATGGAGCTAACACTCATTTTAATACGTCAGAATACGAATCGTACACGACAAATCGTAGCGTACCTTAATGATTACACAACTAATACATTTATACGCTATAACCCGCAATATCAATTCATTGAATTAATTTAATTACTTTGTTTCTTTCTGCATGAAATACTTTGTGAGTTCTAGATTTTGGCGGCGGCAGAACTAAACGATTTTTTCATTGCATTAGTTTTTGGTTTAACCAACCTCAGCATCACAGAGTAGACAGATACAGAGCTGTAAATGACACTGCGAAAACTTACGTTTTCATGCACCCACCTTTTTTTCAGGCGACCGGGGAAAATATGATCAACTGGCCTGCGCGTGCTCGGCAATTCAATGGGATACATGGATCTAGTAACTTGCCGAGCAGCAGTGCATTTTTTAAGGGTTTTTCAGTGGTGGGGCAAAACTGCCAAAAAGCCCATTTTCCTTGCCCTCCCCCAGGATAGATTGCGATCGCCGACTACCACAGGTACGAGTTAGGGGGATCTGGGGGCATGCCCCCCAGAAAATCTCAGCTTCTCAAAACACAGCGACCCAATCTCGCAAGGGTCATGTATTATTGTAAAAATATGTCATAACATATAAATTTTAAAATGAAATTGAATTGCCCACTTGATAGTGTGTATTCTCCTTTTATTCCTCTTTTGTTGGACTAATATTTTCCAAAGTCTCGGAAAATATTAGTCCAACAAAAAAATAATAAAAGGAGAATACACACTATCAAAAAGGCAAGTCAATTTCATTTTAAAATTTATATTTTATGACAAATTTTTACAATTATAATATACATTTCTATACTGACCCTTGCGAGATTGGGCCACTTGTGCTCAAAACAAAGCTTTAATTGTGAAATTTGTAATAAATAATAGTTTTCTTCCTGTCCAACTGGGATTAGATAATTTGCTGACTACCTGACAAGTGGGGCGTTCCAACACCCACACCCATCCACCACCCACCCGTTTAGCACCACCCTTGACTGTTCTGACTTTTATAAGATGGAATGTCGAGAATGTGAGAGTAGTGATAGACTCCACTCTGGAGTTCAAAGGGATGCCGCCAATGACGTCACGTTGCTCGAAAGTAATTAGCATGCAAAACTATGACGTAATTTTGCTGGCCTGGGCCAACTGTGACAGGTAGCGCGACCAATTAGCGCGGGCAACCCTGGGCCAACTTGGGCCAACTGTGACAGGTAGCGCGACCAATTAACGCGGGCAGGCCTGGGCCAAACGTAATCAATTAGCATCACAATACAGTAACATCACTATAAATACAGCTAGTGTCCTTTCACCTGCATAGTCTGTATTCAACGCTCACGATGGAACGTTTTCACGGTAAACCAGCTGCTTGTTCTACAACTGCTCGTGGTACGTTTTGGTTTTGTGGCGAAACACCGAGCTGCGAGTTCTTTTGCCATGACGAAGACTGTTATCTGTTTACGAGAGCAATGGAAGCCTGTCAGAATAGTGGTTCCAATCATCCCATTTGCCCAACACATCAGAGACTAGCCAAATTACGTGTGGTAAAAGATAAAATGAAAGAAAATTATGGAAGACCCTTCTTCACGTGTTCTGATCGACATGATCCTTGCAACTTTTGGTAATGGGGAGACATTTACGAAAGCCCTCGACCACGTTGCAAGCACGGGATGGTATGCACCGTACGTAAAGTGAAAAAAAGAAGGACCACCCGGAACCGCCTGTTTTACTGTTGCTCTCAGATAGACAGCTGTGGATTTTTCGAATGGAAAGAGATCGAACCTCGTGTGGCCAAGACTGGCTTCGTCCTATTCAGTGACCCGCTAGAATATCGATACAAGAATGAAGACACGGGAGAAACATTCACACTAGTACTAACATTAGTGCTAAGGAAGCGTATGAAGAATTCCTTAAGAAATATGAATAACTGTAATAAAACGATATAAATTGTTTTTATCATCATGAATGTGTTATGTATGTTATTGAGATAAATCACTTACATTTCTCATTTGGGTTTTAACCTTTATGGGGAGAGGTTCTCTGGTGAGATGAATAATATAAATATAATTTTTGACGAGTTGAGACAAAATGAAATTGATATCGATAAGCAGACTTTATCGTTTCATATAAATGCAATTCTCAACCACCATCGAGATTTTATCGGGCAGTGGGTGCTCATGGTCTAAACCTTGACCAAGTCTACAGAGATATAAATATGACAAACTTTGGTCGCATTTTTGCTTATTTAGCGTTAGTTTGTGTGCAAAGTGACAGCGAGGAAAGCGTTCGGGAACATGTCCGAAAAACTATCGAGGCCTTTCGAACTTTTCATATCCCAAAAGCGAAGAGGAATGATAAACCACCAATTTTAATAGCGCTCTCACTTACACTAATAGCTTTATATGTTAGTCTATGATTGCTGCATGGTTCATTTCGTTCTAACCTCTGAGGTGAAAGGATGCCCTGTTGTGGTAAAAGTCTTCCAGAAATTTCCCTCCGAGATATCTTTCGGAAAGTACGTTGTATTTCCGCTTGCTGTGGAGGGAAAATTGTAATTCAAGCCTCAGACATTGATGGCAGAAAAGTACCTGAGCCAAATCTATTACAATCCAGAAAGTCCCGCAAGCTTTGGTGGCATAGATTCAATTTACCGTGTCGTAAAAGACGAAGGCAAACATCAGATATCACGGAATAAAATACAGCTATGGCTACAAAAGCAAGACACGTATACTTTACATAAATCTGTAAAATATCGTTTCAAAAAGAACCGTGTTATTGTAGGCGCAATTGACGAGCAATGGGAGGCTGATCTTGTGATTATGGACTCGATAAGCAAATACAATAACGGCTTTAAGTACATTTTAACTGTAATCGATGTACTTAGCAAATATGCGTGGGCTGAACCGATAAAAACAAAGACTGGAGAAAATCTTGTCAAAGCCTTTGAGAAAATACTGAAAAAAGGTCGAAAGCCTGAAACGTTTCACAGCGACAAAGGGACAGAGTTTATGAATCGAAAGTTTCAAGCCTTTTTGAAGAAACATAACATCCGGTTTTTCACGACGCAAAACGAGACCAAGGCATCGATTGTCGAAAGGTTTAATCGTACGCTCAAGACGAAAATGTGGAAATACTTTACAGCGAAGAATACGCTCAAGTACGTGGACATTCTCCAGAAACTGGTCAAATCTTATAATCATTCGAGACATCGTAGTATTGGCATGAGGCCTGTTGATGTAAATGAAGACAACGAGAGCATTGTGTGGCAAAAACTTTATGGAGAAGAGCCAGACAAATCCGTTCGGTTCAAGTTTAACATTGGCGACCAAGTACGAATCAGCAAAGCAAGGCGCACATTTAAGAAAGGATACCTACCTAATTGGACCGAGGAAGTATTTACGATAACCAAACGTGTTCTTCGACGCCCACCCGTGTACAAGATCGCTGATTTTGATGACGAAGAATTG